ATATTAATAATTTTCTTATGAAATATAACTTTAAAATATTATTTTTTATAAAATATGCCCATATTTGAATGTATATATTAATAATTAAAATGTTTTATTGGAGATCGTAAAAAGTTAATAGAAAATATTATTTCTAGACAGAGGGAGTCCTTTGTACTACGTGTTATTAGATCTAGAGACAAATCTCACTACATGTTGTTCCAGGTGAAATTATATTCATATACCTTCTCTTAAGTAATTGTATGAGCTCAAGCTTGTCGGTGGACATTGCGCAGTTGACAAAGGTAAGGAGTGCTAATGTGGTAAGACTCGAATTCGATTCTTGGCAACTACGCTCTGAGGCAACTATGTTAAGCATAGAGCCTCTGCAAGTATCAGGTGCATGTCATACTATTTGTCACTAATCTGCGATCAAAGTCCAATTTACCTTCTCTCAGTGATCGTCCGACCGGGTCTAAGGAGGCCCTCAGGGATTGGGCTTATCGTGTATGGACCCAAGTCTAAGATCATGTTCTCTTCAACTTATTCTTATTACTTACTCCCTCCGTCCCAGAAAGAATGTCACGGTTACTATTTTTGTCTCTCGATAACTTTTGTTTGTTTACTCGTTTTGGTTGACCATTTGATAAAATAAAATATTCTTGTCGCATCTTGTTTTGTAGAACTTTTCATATACTTTTGAATGATGTAATTTTTACTTTTTATTACTCTACCAATTTTAAAATATAATGATTTTAAAAGAGATGATATTTTACACGTCGTTCGAAATGTTGCAAATAATTTGGGACATGGGGAGTATTACTTTTTCTTATTAGAATCAGATCAGACCAGATCAGAAATAGCTTTCCATGAACTTTATTGAAGCTTATTCCAATCAGATCAGGTGAAGAGAAAATGACCTAAGGAAGCTTTAGAATGCGGTTCATCCTTTTGTTCTCTCATAAAAAGGTTCTACATTATCATTCACATAGTAAAACTGGGTTTTTATCATATACGGAGTATATTTTTATTGATCATCGACAATATAAAATACTCATATCATCTCTATTTTTTTTAGAACATTTGATGTAATAATAGTTTTTCAATATTTAATTTTTATTTTTAGTTTACACCAACTTTCAAATACTCCTTCCGTCCCAGTGTATTTGTCTAGTTTGACTTTTTCGAGTCAAACTGGATAAACGTTGAGCTTCAATTAAATAAAAACTGTAATATATTTTAACATAAAAATGACTTTATTGGATTTATCGTATTGAGAACTTTTAAAATTGTATTTCATTATGCTAATATGCAATATAAATTGAGTGTAATTAGAGTTTAAAATTTGTCCAGTTTGACTCAAAAAAGTCAAACTAGACAAATAGACTGGGACGGAGGTAGTATTCCCTCCGTCCCAAATTATTTGCCACATTTGCATTCCCGAGGCAAAATATCAAGTTTTTTCAATTCATTTTATTTACATATTAGTATAAAAATAAAAAATAAAATTTACATATAAAAAAACTACATGAAAAGTTCTTCGAAATAAGAGGTGTCAAAAATATTTTATTTTATCAAATAACCAATGAAAACATCGAAATAAACAAAAGTTCCCGCGACTGCTGAAAAAGCAAATGTTGTGAATATTTAGGGACGGATGGAGTATATAGAAACAAAAATAATTTTCATCAAACATTGTAAACAAATGCTGAAACTTTTTAGTTCGATGGAGGGAGAAATGTATAATATCCTCTTCGTTTCAAGATTATCATCCTGGTTTGATTTTTATATTATCCCACCTACACATCATTTTAAATACGGAGTAATAAATATTATAAACATTTGATATATCAACAACATATTTTTAAATAAACCTAATTACATTTAATTATAACTAGTACGGAGTATATTTTTTCAAAGTTTTTGGATAAAATTCAAAATAAGATTCTGAGTATAAAATTTGAGTTGGATGAACAATGAAGTAAAAACTTTTTATTGATTAGGTAGCTGCTGACAACATTATTACATTTTTCCTGTCAAAGAACAAAAAAGAACCCACCGTAACGGCTCTATTACCAGGTGGCCCTCCCCGCTTCTCAGTCAAACATTTGAAATTCTCTCTCTCTCTATTTCAAAATCTCTGGTTTTCTTGAATTCTGAACCGCCCTTTTCTTCTCAATTATCACTTCTTTCTTCCTTGCAAATCTTCCAATTTCTCAATTCTTGAAAGAAAAAGATGGGAATTTGCATGAGCAAGAAGAAGAGCATAGCTTCAGCTCCCCCTCGTCCCGCCACACAGTCTGCAATTCATTCCAGGCAAGAAACCAAATCCCCAGATCTCGGCACGAAGAAGCCAGAAGAAGGGGCAGTGAAGAAGGAGATATTCTTCATCAAGCACCGGAGGAGCCACGAGATCGAGAGGCGGTCTGTGGACGGAAAAGACGATTCCAAGAAGGAGGCGAACAACAGCGAGGTTTCCGAGCCGGCGGTCAAGAATCCTTCGATCAGCAATGGGTTGAATGTGGTGTCGGCTCCGGTGAGGACTTCGAGCTGCACGAAGGAAGAGGTTGATGCCATATTGATTCAATGCGGGAGGCTCAGTAGGAGCCCTTCCAGAGGAAAGACTGCAGCTTCCATTTCTGGATCCGTTGGGTCTTCATCGGAAAACAACACTGGGAGTCTACAGATGACCAAGAAATACTCCGGGTCGAAGAGAAGTTTCGATTTTGACAAGGAAAATGGAAGCAGGGAGGAGGATGTGGAGGCCGGAGGAGGGGAAACGGAGAGACTCCACCGCCAGAGACACCGCCAGCCGAGGAGTAGCCTTAGCCCTTCGTCTTCCCGGAGCCGGAGGAGGACGCAGAGCAGGGAAAGGGAGCAGGTGGCACAACAGCAGAGGTCCGGAAGCAGAGAGAGAAGTGGGAGTAATGGGAGGAGGGTGAGTAGGTCTCCTGGCAAAAGGTCTGAATCACCAAACACAGTTACTTCTGGGAATGGTAACAGGCCAGGAAAGATGGTTCATGTGCCTGCAACTGTGGCAATGGACAAGAGCATTGATGGTGAGAACATCTTGGCTGTGAAGAGGATTCAAGTGAAGAGGAATGTGGGTGGGGGTGGCGGCGGTGATGGCTCTAGAAATGCCTCCGCCCCGGTGGTTGTGGTGGCGGCGTCTCCGCGTGCTCGTTCCCCTGCGCAGTACCAGCAGCCTCCCTCCCTGAGCAGAAACAATTCTAGGAAAGCAGAACAGTCTCCTTTCAGAAGAAACCCTCTGGGTGAGATTGATACTAATGTTGTCATTGAACCGTCAGCAACTAATAAGCCTGCCAAAACCCATACTTCTCAGGTACTCTTGTTCCATTGCAGTTGCTTGACACTATTACTGCTTAATGTGGTTTTTATACCATTGATGTAGATTGGATATTCTCTTATAAGTAGAGGCCAAATATCTAAAAATGACCAACTGGCCATCAACTTCAGGTGTATCCTTTAGATTCAAACTGATGAGCCTTGGACATGTAAAAAACTACTCCATAGTTAAAACCAAACCCACAAAAATTACAAATTCAATAATTACATGATGAGCATTGGACATGAATTAACTAGTTAAAACCAAAACAAAAAAAATTACAAATTTAACTTTTGATATTATTTAGGCTGCCTTTAGTGGGTTTAAAATGAATTTTTTTATGCACTGGAACTGGCATTAGTGTTTAAAGTGTGCACACATGATCCATCCGAAGTTTTTTTTGGGTATTTGGCATATAATAAAATCTAACGGAGTGGAAATGCTTGTTTAACTTGCTTTCTTAGTTTTTTTTCCTTCATGTAGTTCAAGGCTGAATTTGAAGTGTATTTCCTTGGTTATATTCAGGTGCAGAAGATCAATGGAGATAATATCAGCAGCGTCAAGGTGACGTTGCAAGGGGCTAGCAGTAACAAGTTTATCTGTAACAACAAAGGTAAGGACGAGGAGGAGCAGCTGATAATGGAGGAGGAACACAAAGTGGTTGGTGGGAATGGTGCTGCAGTTAATGTGATTGCCCCGGCAGGACCAGAAAACATCAAGGCAGTAACAAGATGCAGATCCTCTAGATTATCTCGCGATTTAGACATTAACCCCGAATCTCTATTATCAAACTCAAATTCCACTCAAAACTATACGGCGTTGTTGCTTGAAGATATCCAAAACTTTCACCAAAAGAATACCCCAAACACTACCTCGGCTTTTAGCCTCCCAGCTTGCGTCACCAAGGCCTGCTCAATCCTTGATGCAGTGGCTGACCTTAACTCCAGCACTACTAATGCTTTCTCGGAGGACAGAAGAAAGAACTTCACATCTGAGCAGTTTGTTAAGAAGAAGAGTTTAGGGGTGAAAGATCCATTTGTGGAGTCTGAGGTGGTTGTTGTGGGCGGTGATGACTTGATGGAGCCAAGCATTCACAAGTATGTGACCTTGAGGAGGGGAAATGTTGAAGAAGAAGAAGAGGGTGGTGACGGAGAAGATCAAGAATCCTCTGGAAGCAACAGCTTTGTTGGGGGTAGTCAGCCTCCTTATTGGCTTTCTTCTTCTTCATCCTCGTGGGAACCAAACTCAAGCGACTCAACTTCAAGGTCTTACAGCAGGGATGATAACCGGGTCCCACTAGGACTCGGCTTTCAAAGACGTGCTGTTTCCGAGCCAAGCCATGATATTATGGGTGAAGGTAAGAGGAGATTGGCTGCAAAGAAGAATCAGCAAATTGGAGGTGGTACCCACAATACATCCATGGCAGCTGCAGCTGTAACTACTGCATCAAGTTGACGATAGCAAAAGGTTTCAGATGTGCTGTTTGATCTATGAATGCATTTGTTGTTTGTGCTTTTGCAACAAGCTTGCTTGCAGCTCCGGTTGCTCCTATAAAGATTTCGTTTAGCTAGAACAAGTTATGATTCTGTATAACTGGAAATCAACGAACACGTCAGTTTCAGTAATGTTTTTTTTAAATGTTGAATGAATCAATCAGTAATTAGGCAACGATTGGTAACCGGAATGTGATTTAATCAAAAGCACATCAAATGCAACTTTGCCCTAAAAGTATACCTAGTGTTTTTTATTACATTCCATCATGTTTAAGGAAACATTACTTTGAACATGCATGTACAAAAAAGGGAACTGCTTTGCTGCTCTATACTAACTGGAGTACTATAGATTATTACATCTGTTCAAACATCTGTGGGTGAATGGATCTCTGTCTAGATGGTAACATTTCATGCATCACCACTCTTAAGGTTAACCATGTAAATTGCTGCCAGTGTTACCAGCGCGCCAATCAACTGAATAGGTGTGAATGTCTCGCCAAGATATATGAACCTGATATTAGATAGAGGTGTAGTTGATGAATGTACGGCAAAAATATTGTTTCAAGATCAAAATGTTTCATAAATCCAAAGAGTGGACTTTGGATGTCTTACCCAAATATTGAAGCAAAAACAGGAGTCAAAAAGGTAAGCGAGCTGAGCTTTGTAAGGCTGCCTGCAATGTGTTGAAATAGGAGCCAAAGCTGAAGCAAAAAAAATGCAAATTCTAGAACCCATTCGGGCTATAAATGACAATTTTATAAAATTAAGTGATGAATGAGAGTAAAAAATTAATGACAAAAGAGATATTTAATGGCTTCTGGAGTCACAAGAATGCCATTTCTAGCCGTTTGGTACTGTATTGCTCATTTTTAAATGAATCTAAACTGACCTGATGTTGCATTGTAAAAGTAAACACCATAGCTCAATGCACTACCGAAAACTGATGTATAGACCAGTGCCAATACATCAATGGAAGTAAGCTCCTCCAAACTACCATGAAGGGCAGGGTCGTGATTAAGCATGGAGATAATAATCAGCGGGAGGCCACCAATAACCATGTGCTGCATGCATTGATGATATTTCAAACAAATAAATAAAAAATATACCGAACGATTTTCCTTTAAGAAAATTTAGCATATTCGATCATTTCCTCCAAATAACCTTACCAACAAGCCCTACGTTGAGCTACAAATTTGAGAAATGATTAGTACAAAGGGGGAGAGTGCCATTTAAACAATACATTATATGATGATGAAAATGGAACTATACCCATCCGGTAGCCATGACAGGATCAGAGTACTTGGAAACCCAACGGACCATAACTGTACCAACTGCCATGCTTTGTGCAGCAAGAAGCATCCACCACTCCCCACTTCCCCAAAGTGAAAAGTTTTTCTCATCAATTGTCAATGCAGGCACCTGTGCAAATATCATACGGAGTAATAAAAAATGTATATATGCTTGTTCGGTTATCTTTTTTTTTTTAAATTTAGTATGGACCAAGAAAGGCATCAAGAATAAAACATATCATGAATGAACTATAGCATTTACCTCAAGAAGAAAAAGACCTACTACTCCAAGTACAAGTCCTGCAGCTCCGACGTATCCAATAGACTCACCAAATAACAGTGATGCTAGAATAGCAACAGTCAAAGGCTGTGAATCGATAATTACCTGAAACGATCAGTTTGTAAATGGTATCAAATCTTGTGTAGCTTACGGGACACCTAAGAAATTGCTTCACTGTTTCAGGAAACGAAAACACAGTGAGATCTCCTGTGGGATACTCAACTCTCAAAGATACAGCAAGTCATGTGCATACATGGAGCATGCTAAAATGAGTTTTTCTAGCGACAAGTGGGGGAGAAATGCACACTACCAAACGATACATCTTCTTAACACCCTGCTAATTCTTGAATTAAGTGATCAAGAAACTCAACATACAAAAAGACGAATCGTTCACTCAAGAATTTCAACCTACACTGCCTAAACCAGCTGATGTCTTCTCCAACCCCTCAGCTAGAAAACCCTGTCCGCCATCCAAAAAGACCGTTAGTTACTCTCGATTACCCTCAATTCCCTCAAATTTATCCAAATACTCGGATGTCAAACAAACAAGCATGGAAACCTGAAAGCAGGCAGCATCAATTAGTGCGAATAGCGTGATAGAAAGCCAAGCATTGAGCCCGGAAGGGAATTTCCGGCCCCGGGAAGCAGCAAAGCCCACCAAGAGAAAACCTGCAGGAATCAATCGGAATGCAGACACGAAAAAAGGCCCAGTCTTGGGCAGAACTTCCTTCATTGCCACCATAGCCGTGCCCCAGAAGAAGAAGGGCGACACCAGCAACGCCCATTCCCATATTTCACTTAACAAATCCGCCTTCGCCCTGTTCAAATCTTGGCTCTTGAGCTCTAACTTTTCAGGATCTGCGTCAACTTCTGCCACAGATGATTGTGAATGCTCGCCCAAATTGAAACCCTTCCTATTGGGTTCGACGCAACTTGGGAACTTGTTGTGGGTACATGAAGAAAGATTTCGTCTTTGAGTAAGATAACGGTTGTAGAGCAAAGGGTCAGCCAAAGAAGGCGCTTTTCTGCCATGAATAGATGCAGAGAAAGAGCGGTGACAGGTTGAAGGAGGGGCTAAGGAAATCAATGCCATCCCCCGACTGTTTTCTGTTTTCAGCCGTTAGTTCTTAGCTCCACCCAGTGAAAGAACATTCTGTAGAGTTTTGACGCTGAGAAAGTAGTCAGATTCATGTCCACAAAGAAAGTCGGGTAATGAGATAAAAGTTGAATGGGCGTTTGTTGAGTGGAGAAGGGATTTGGTTTTAGCAAGATAATGTTTATCTCGAATATTTTTTTTATTTTCATTTTATATCTATATCCATCAAATGTTTATTTATACAAAATATGATATTTGACCGATTTTATTTTTAATTTAATTTATTTGATTGTAAGTGCAAAGTTTAAAAAATTATATATTTAAAAACTAAATTAAAAGTTCTTTAAAACAAGAAGTTGACAAAACTATATTTTTTTATCAAATAACTATTTGAAAATGAGTAAAAAGAAATAATTAAAATTTGACCGTGTGAATAGTAATTAGGAATAACGGAGAGAATACTTATTTTTTAAAAAAAAACATAATGTTTATTATAATTATATAAAATATTCATTATCAAGTACGGAGTAACATATTACCAATGGCAGATCCATAAAAAATATTGACTGGGGACACTCTTAGGTAACCAAAGGACGAGTGAACGTCCCAAATTTTTTTAAAAAGACATTAAATTTAAAAAAATATGAATAAGTAAAATAAAATATTTTAAATGTTAAAAATAAATGAGTATAAAATTTATGAATACATCATAACATAACACAGAGCACTTCGTATGATTTTCAAATTCAAATATTTAATTTTCAAATTCTATTTAAACAGTTTTTTCTCTTTTACAATACATTTTAAGTGGGGGCACACTATTTTTTTGCGGGGAACACTTTTAATTTACGTAAAAAATAATATATTTTTTTCTAATTTATATGAAAATATAAAAAACCGCTGAGGTCACATCCTCGACAAAATAGCACCAGTACCTCCCAAGGTTTAGAAAATAGACACGGTAGCCCTCATATTTTCAAAACTTATTTCAAAATTTTTCGTGATTTCATAATGTTGCACTCATATTCCCTGATCATTTTCCGGCAAAAAAGAGAACATTAGTGCCTATTTTCTAAATCATAGGGGCAGTGATGCTCATTTCTTATTTTTCATTTATTTTTTTTCCTTTTTCCTCTGTTTGTTTATTTTAGCATTCAAGGTCTTTTAATTTTTCAAAATTTGTTTTTATAATTTTATTAAATTTTAAAATTATTCTTGTTTAAAAAAATAAACATATATCACGTCTCAAGTTAAAAAAAAATTCATTTTTTTGTTTTAAGTAAATTTTATTTTAAGAATTTCAAAAAAATGAGGAATAATATAAGAAATAAAATAATTAAAAAAATAAAAATGAATACTTTTTTGGACATCCCAATTCTAAGGATTTTCTTAGGCATTTTGAAAATTCCTTTTTGTATAAGACTCTTTTTTGCATGTTTAATTTTTTTCATTTTGTTTTTCCATATTTTTATTTTTTTATTCTGGACTTCCTTTTTGAAGTTACCAAAAAAAATTCTAGAAAACAAAAAGTAAAAAAATGTTTGATTTGAGATGGATGGAGGATAAGTTAATTTTTATTTTTATTTTTATTTCAAACACTATGAAATTTGAATTTTTTAAAACATTATAAAAAAATTAGAAACAGATTAAAAAACTTTTTTAGGAAAAGGAAACAAAGAGATAAAAAAAGAGTTAAAAAAGAAAAAACCAAATAATAAATGAAAATAAATGCTTACTTATGTAGTAAAAAATACGTATTTTGCTCATATGTAGGTCCATGATAGACCCATATAATTTGCCTATTTTGAAATGCATTTAGTTTAAAGAATGCATTTAGTGTAATTATTTACAGAAGTGGCCCTAGGCCCTCGCAGATAGAGTAGCAGAGAAAGGGAACAAACTACATGTTTTGCCTGATCGCCAGATCCTAGCACAAATGTGCTGTGGATGTAATATGGGGGCATTTTATTCCCCCAAAAAACACGAAACATGGCAAAGTTCATCACCTTGAATTATCCCATCTTGTCACGAAAATGCAACTGTCACGAATCAAAAGAAAAACATCAATGAAGGTTTAACGCAGAACAGATAAATATCATGAAACAAATCACACCCACCTAAGACTTGGGTAAAAGGCGACCGTTATACATCTTGTCGAGCAAATCCCGTGCATCCCGCCGCCTAAGAAGACCTTTGTTGTTTGGCAGACCAGTTCCTAAACACACAGGGCAGACAAGTTTCCCACGTCCTGCCACCCAAATACACACAAAGAAGATCACCTCAATTGTGAGCAGGGTTTTGTTACGCAGAGATGGTCAGGAGAAGTAAAAATCGTTTTATTTGATGATTGAGAAATGCAACAAACACATCTTGAAATGCTTGAATACTGAATATGAATACAGCATACCATAACAATTTGGACATTCAGTGAATTCATACAAATCTTGGGCTCTCTTTCTGTTCAAAGCTTTCCATTTCCCCGTCCCACCGCACATATCACCTGAACAAAAGTAAGCCCCCAACTTGCAGAGTAAAACTAACTTTGTTTAATAGAAACTAACCCAGACTGTGTACTTACAAATGATTGCACCGCCACCCCCACAATTCAGGCACACTGCTTGTGCTTTATCACCTGCAGCGATTGCTCTTGGCTGAAATAAAGGGTTGGCATCTCCACTCATCAAGGCTATTGTTGAACAGATGCACGTCATGCACACACGCCGCGAAATTAACTTTTGAGACTCCTGTTCTCCCAAAACGAAATTAAAAAACAAAATAATTAGTTCAAACCTGTACTCGTCTTTCTTGTCAAGGAACCAACTCAACCAAAGTTGAAGCTTGTGGTTGTAGGCCCGAGAAAGGCTTTGAGCCTTTTACGTGTTAATTTTTTAAAACTTGGTGGCGATGAGTTTTGGATTTGTGACCACTTAGTCAACAAGGCTCTGAAACTGTGTCAAGGAACCAGCTCAACCAAAAGGGCAAGCTTGTGGTTGTAGGCCAAAGGAAAGATTCTTATATTCTACGGAGTAACATTTATGTCAAAATACTCAGAGACTCATTTAAGTTTGACACAACAACCATTAATGACAATAGCAATATATTATTTTCTCTTTTTCCGCATATAACTGGGCTAAGCACTGTAATATACCCCGGGATGCACCAACGGAGACCATTCTTACTCCACAAGTGAATGACAGTCCAGGGATTAATGTCCAAGTGTTCTGATCTTTTTTGGGTTGAATTCATTTATCCTTAGCCGTCCATGTCCATCCTCCCAAAACATCCAAAAATATTACCTTTAAGACCAAAATAAACTCTTTTCCTACTCAAAGTAAGCCATAGCCATAATTTGGAAGGAAAATAAGACAAAATGCTATAGATTTTCACTTTCCTTCATATTCAATGATGATGTGATTTCTTTTGTGTTTCTCAGCCTATAGCTGAAATTTCCCATAAAAAACCACCCAAAGTCTTCCTTATTAATGTCAAAGTCATTACCCTCATATTTGTTTGATATGACCGAAACTTGAACAAGCAATGCAAGCTAAAACTTTACCTTCTTTTTATCTCAAAAGTGAAACATTGTGTGCTACCTTACTTTTACTCCTCTTTTGGCCGAAAACCCCACCATATTTATCACCAAAATGTTGACCTTATATCCATAAACCATCAACCGAAATCCCATCCCAAGATAATAGAGAAACCATTACAAAATATCTGCTTTGACTTTTGTGTACTTGTGTTTTCCTACACCTTCATTTTCACCTTTTCTTTGACCATAATATAGAGTCAATGTCCATATTCCTTCCCAACCTTATAACCACGAATTCAGAGTACTAAATCATAACCTTTTCGCTGATGTGTTGGGCTGAAAACTCCTTATCCACGCTGCATTTCACTGATCTCTGGTTGGCTGCCAATGAAATAAGGAAACCCATTAACCAAATTTCATCAGGTATTTAGCCAAACACAAGAGTTAAAAATCATGATTAAAAAAATCAATCAAATGGGTGCTTACATAATGCAAAATCAATAAAAGACAGAAATGCTCACAATTCCTCAAAGATGAATAATGAGTAGAGTGAGAGTAGAATCTCCTGTGAACTGAGGGCACAGGAAACGATAGTTGAGAAGCCATTATCTAATTCTCTTTCTCTGACTGCAGCATATCTCTGGCTTCTGCGATTATCCACAACCGCATATGATCACGCACATTATCCAGCCAAATTTTGTAGTGTACTAACTATCTAGCATTATCTTTATTAGATCAAAGAAGATACAAACAGATAGAGTAAACTGGAATAGTGTTTGTTCTAAATCTAATTGCATGAGATTGAATATGATTGCATAAAAATTGAATAAAAAATAAGTGAAATTCGTTCACTTTTATCTCTAAGAAAACTCCTATAAAAGGATTCATTCTTGCCTTTCCAACCACACCTCAATTCCCCTGATGTTCAATATCATTTGCATCCATCAAGTATCAAATGCCTCCCTTTTGGTCACTCTTTAAGAGATATTGACACTTCCCAACACCTTGCTCATTTAAAAATACGGCATATCCATTCCTATGATTTGCAATCCATGAGAAACAATGGCAGTGTGTATGCCATCGAGTATACTCCCCTTTTTTCGTTAGTGGTTTAGCGAAAATATTATTTAAGGATACAATTTATCATTGTGAGTATTTTTTTAGGGAAAGAGAATTACTACAATCATTCCAAGGAAATTCGTTGCAAAGTATAAGCCATTGCTTAAGGAGGGTGAAATGTATGCAATTAAAAAACCAACTGTCTTGAACAAAATTTTAAAATGACACTTGCTGTGAACAATTTCAAGTTCAACATTGTTAGGCGATGCAGTATTTGTCAAATTTCAGAAACAATTTTTTAGAGAACATGTTCAATTTCAAACAGTTAGATGAGATAAATTTCATGAAGCATCCTGAACATCTATTGTTTAGATGGTCATCTGTACTCCGATTTCGTGAAATAAACATGTGCTCACTATTTTTTTTGTATTAAATGAAGAAGTCATTGAACATCAACTCCATCCTATTCTGGAAACCTATAATTATAAAGCTATGCTAATTTAAAGAGATTTTAGAAATCCATTTTATTCTGGAAACGTAATTATCAACATTTAA